CAGATGGCAGAAAGTATGACACAACACTACTACACAGCAGTCTCAGGCTAGTGCATGGTTAGTGTCACAAAAAAGTCATTTGGCAGTGCTACTGCAGAGAAACTCCAGTTACTGCAGTCATACAAGTACTAAATGACTGTGCAGTAATGACTGTGCAGTTGGCATCTCATGTAGATGCGCGTGGCCACTTAATGGCAGAGTTTAGAGCTTCCTTTTATTTCAGCTGACACCCCTTGCACCATGAAATTGGTGAGCTAGTTCCTGGTCCCTGAGGGAATGTCTTTGCACCTCCTTGACAGTACTAAGGAACCTTAAAACTGTCATGTTTGGAGAACTGCAAATTGCCCCAGTTGCAGGGGAGGGGGTTTCTCTAGGAAGATAATCTCAGGTGTGTCTATAGTATTGCACTGGTCCAGCAATCCCTGACAGGTGTAAGAATTTGGCCCCAGCAGCCCCAGAAATAGGGAGAGAGAAAAAATGGGATGCTGCCATCTTTATTTTTTTTATTCCCCTTTAATTTGTGCCAGATTCAAGGACTAGGTCCCACTGGATTTTCATGAGGTATAATCAGTGGAGTAATTGGTCCATAACCCATAACAACCAAAGAAATAGTATTTATTTTAGATACTACTTCAGAGTTCCCACTTGTCAAAGGTTACCATAGGCTCCCAAAGTATGATTTACTGTGTGGCTTCATGCCTTATTTTCATAGATTCATAGAAAATTTGGGTTGGAAGGGACCTCAGGAGGTCATCTAGTCCAATCCTGTGCTCAAAGCAGGACCATTGCCAACTAGATCATCCCAGCCAAGGCTTTTTCTAGCTGGGTCTTAAAAACCTCCCAGGGTGGAGAAACCACAACCTCTCTGAGTAACAAGTTCCCAGTGCTTTACTTTATTTTGAGAAAGTAGAGCACAGAAGTGCCTATACCAGTTGTTTTTATAACTGGTAGACAATTTGCAATTTGCTTTCAAAAACATTCAAATAGGTGGGTTCCAAAACATTCCAGTGTTATCTGTTTTCCATAGTACTGAACTACAGCTGCAACTATTTTACATTCAAACAATCACTCTGGTAAACCTTATTATGCTGCCTGCTAACACAGGCATTTGTTTGGTATTGTTATTGCAGGTTATCAATTCAGCACTTAATTGTGCTGCAGCAATACAATGAAGTTGGCTCGCATGAAACACCATCAACAAGGGTTTATTTAATTTCTACTAACTGTAAAAACATTAGCTCTTTGCCTTAGTCATTGGCATGTAAACACATTTCAAATATTTTCTCTCACTAGACTACTTGTACCTTCTTTATTAAATTCAGAGAAAAGAGGAAAGAGGGAATATGGGGAAGAGGTATTATATGAGCATAGTGTGGGCTGTGATTTATTTTTGATGGTATTCCTTGTTTGGGTTTTTTTTAAATACATTTTAAGTGGTGTTATTAATGTGTTGCAGTAGCAATGTTGATTACCTGAAGTTTTAACCTAAAATGCCATGCAGTCTTGAGATTTCAGCATGGATCAGTCTTGAGATATCAGCAAGGATATCATGAAAAAATGAAGTAAACCAAGGATTTTACCTTTTACTGAAGGCAAACGCAGATTTCTCATTTTACTAGAGAAACCTGTGGATTTTGCAGTTTTGCAATAAACTCTCTGCAGGCTGGCAGAGTTGCAGCCTGCAAGGGGCTGGGAGGGAGTGGGAGGAGGGCAATCAGGCAGGGGGCACCATGTGCATGTACACACACATGGCCCAGGCAGCCTGGAGAGCAGCTCCTGCCAGTAAGTGTGGGGGTGGGGAGGGGATTGAGGTCCCCAAAATGAGGAGGGACAGAGTTGGACAGAGCTGGGTCTGGGTCTGGGGCTGCTGCCCAGGTGGGTGAGGTGTGGGGCCTGTGGCTGCAATACACAGCTGCAGGGCCCCAGCTGGGAGTGGGATGGGGCCATGGGAGGCTCATCTGGGGGGTGGGAGAGTGGGAGAGTGGAGCTGGCTCCCCACTGCAGCAGTCACTGCCAGGGAGAACCCATGCCCCGAGATCTGTGTGCAGGTAGGGGGCAGGGCAGATGAGAGCTTGGACTCCTGCCCTGCTGCCCTCCCTTGGGGCCTCCGCAGCCTGGCGGGCATGACCCAGCACTGCAGGGAAGAGTGTGGCCGTTCAGGAAAGCTGAAAGCTCCACAGTGACTTGGTGATGCATCCCCTGCACATGCGGCGTCTTTGAGGGGCACAACCCCATGCCACTGCCCTCACTGCAGCTGCTTATGCAGGGGATGCATCTCCAAGGCAGCGCGGAGCTCAAGAGGTTTCCTGTGTGGCCCTGCTCTGCCCTGCAGTGTTGGGTCACACCCACTGGGCTGCAGACACCCCAGGGGAGGGCAGCAGGGCAGAAGCCCACAGCGTGCAGCCTATACCCACCCTGTGCACATATCTGGGGGGCACAGATCCCTCCTGCCCCCCAGGAGTGCAAGCTGGAGTGGTGAGCTGTCCTCCCCACCCCCAGCCCGCAGCAGGGTGGAATTGGGCTCTGCTCAGCTGCAGTAGCCACTGCCTCCTGCTGGGGGCAGAGGGCCGTGGATGCAGGTCCCTTGCCCCGTAGCCCTGACAGCTGGGGGGCCCCTCCAGCTGGGATGGGGATCAGGGGCTGTGGGTGGGGGGTAAGGGGCACAAGCAGTACCAGGAGGCTGTGGGGGGCGGGAGGGAGTGAGAGGCACAAGCAGGGCTAGGGGAGAACTGGCGGGGGTAATTTTAATCACAGATTTTGTGGGGTTTGTTAGAGAATTTGAGATTTTTTATCAGAGAACTTGCGATTTTTTTTTAATCAAGGAAAACCAGGATTCCTGGGTAGCAGAGACACAAAGATTAATTAATAGCACTGTTATTGGGAAATAATGCAACATTATTTATAGAGCAGAAAGTCACATTGCCTAGAGCAGGATTACCAAACTGTAGTACGCATACCCCACAGGGTGCACCAGGTATCTTGGGGGGAGGGGAGGGAATGCGAAAGAAATTGTGTAATGGCGGATTTAATTTTCATTATAATAATAATTGGCATTTAAAGAGGTAAAATATAAAATGTATACTGGTAGGGATACGCAGGCAGCTTCTAAATTTGGAAGGGGGTATGCAATAAGGAAACCTCTGGCCTAGAACTTTAAAAAATGCTGTTGTTTGGGGAAGGCAAAAGCAGGAGGTGTACCATGGGGAGCCATTCTACTTTTAGGAACAGTTTGGTTTATTCTAGTTCTAATGTTTGTGATTCTCTGATGTGAATCATGTATCTTAATAGTTGCCAGACTGCACACTACAGCAGACAAAATGTTCAGGAATTTGCTCATTCTTGTTCATTTTCAGTGGGAGACTAGAAGCGTCTCATGCATATCTGGAGATTATTCTGCAAAAGGTCCACAGCTACTAACAGCACCTCCCACAATATTAACCTTGTGCCATCAGTTCCTTATGCCATCTTATTAGCAGAGGAAAGTTGCACATCCACCCTTCACTGTGCATTTATCAGCTTATTTTTAATTTATTCTTAAATGTTAATTTTAAATAATGAAGAAACCCAAGAGACCTTAAGTGCCTTCCTCTACTCAAGCAGCACAAAGCAGGCTTAACCGATTGAATCTGCCCTCCTGGCAGATTCTTCCCTCACAAAGCAATTTTCAGCAGCCGTGCCACCCCCACACAGCCCCCAGACAGGGAGCATGGCCAAGATATCTCTAAGCAGTGGCAATACATGGTTGCTGGAATAGTCCTTATCCCTGGCACCTGTCATATATTAGAGCAGTTATCAGGCTACTTCACTTCAAACCAGAAACTAGTCTAGGACTAGGCAGTTTGGAGAAAAGTAGCATAAAGTCATCTTGGTAAATACTCACAAACCTGCTCTGAGCAGAGCTTGTATAAGCCCAGGACCTGTGTTCAAACACTGAAGACTTTATTTTGGAGAGAGCAAAATACTGTCTGTCTGTGTTTAACAACATAGATACTGTCTTGAATTCTGCTACAACACTGGCATGTCACCCAATACAATCCTCTCTTTTATGTTTCAAAGTGACAATACTTCATCTAAACAAACTCTCAGCTGAAATTGTAATAAATACTTTGCATTTTCAGTTAGTTCCTATGCAAATATCAATGAATTGTCTATATATCATTTAGATGGGTGACGATGTTCTTTACTTCCTGCCTTAAGCTCTTGTGTGTGACTGCTGTGCACTGTGACACAGAAACTTCCTGTACTGTATTAGATGTGATGCCATTTTGATGTCAGCCAATATATATAAATTGAGAACCAAAGGCCAGTTATAGCTCTCTGATTCTGTGTCCCAGCCCAAGTTAGTGCTGCTCCCAAGCTGGCCAAATATTTGAGCTGACAGTGGTTCCCTGTGAGCTATCCATTATCTGGAGATAGCTGGAATGGAACATACTCCCATGTGAACGGGCTTTGGGAGGGAGACATTGGGCCAGGTCAGACTGGTTACACACCTGCTGAAGGATTCCCCACTGTAATGAACTACCTAGCAGGGGAATTGCAGGTCATTTCCACTCGCCGTTCTCTGTCCATGCAGCACAAAGGGAGCCAATTTGGTCAGTGAAGGTATTAATTTTTTTTCTTTTGACTTTTTAAAGTATATTCAGCTATTGGACTAAAAAGAAATAAACCTGTGTCTTAATGCACAGGCTAAAATGCTGAAAGTTGGCATCTTTTCAGCCTCTCTGTGGCTATTTTGAGTGTAAAAAGTAACATTTTAAGTGTTAATCTCCATCTTCCAGGCCTTTACTCTTGTAATTCTTTGCCCCTTAGAGGTGACAAAAAATATCAGCTGTAACACTTCTTTGTAACAGATTTAACTTTGCTGAAAGGCAAAATCATTCAGAAAAACACCCCTGCCAGCTTGGTAAAACTGCCATAGGAGCAGCAGAGACCCCCAATGAGCAAAGCTGTTGTCTGCTTGCTTAGTTATTAAATCATGTTTTAACTTTGTGTTTTCCTAGGTTTCCTGTGAAACAGAAGACAATGAGCAGCTATCTCCCCGCACACAAAATTCACAGAAGTATTTATCTAGGTCATTGTCATTTTCAGACAGGCAAGGCCTGGATGTCCCCAGTCCCACAAAATGCGACAGGAAAGATGCTCGGAAAACATCTAATGCCTCTGCGTCTAAGTCAAGTGTCAGTGATTCAAGTCCAATGAGAAAACACACTGAAGTTTCATATAGTTTCTCTGCTGATAGTGTTATGAGCATTGGTCATTCACACAAACAGCAGGAGGCTGAATGCAAACTCTATAGTGGTGATCTCCTAGATAAACATTCAGATCTCTTTACTGACAACCACCAACCATTCACACCGCGCACCTTAAAATCAGAAGCAAAATCTTTCTTGTCAGAGTACAGGTACTACACTCCTGCTAAAAGAAAAAGGAAGAACATTCGCAAGCAGCAGGTGGAAGCAGAAACACAGACTGATGTAAGCAGGTACAGAAATTAAAATTTTCTTTTGAAATAGTGTGGTTTGTTAATCAGACAAGGCTTTTCATAAGGCTAAAAACTACACCAAATTCTGCCCTCTTTTACCCAGTTAGAAATCTAGGAAAATGAAAGTGAGATCCTTTGACTTATTGTTATAAAACTTAGAACAGAACAACTTGGCCTGCTCTTTTTAAGAACCTCCAAGATTCATTCCATTTTGCCTCATAGATCTTGGGCCTGATTCTTTACTGCCTTGTATCCTGTGTTGTGATTTATACCAATACAATTTAGGTTTGAAACGCTACCACATCCAAAGTGCATTGTACTTGAGGGAATTTGGATTGGTGTAAATAGCAGCATGTGTTGCTAGGAAATCAAGGAGCATGCCCTGTGTCTTTGCCCTCCTGGTCCTCTCTCTCTGATATGTACCAGTGTTGGTGGCACACAAACCTTCCACTCGGCAGCTCCTGCCATCTCAAGCAATTCTCTAATTCTCTGGTTCCTTTTTTTAAAATCTTATAAAGGGATTCAAAGATGCCTTTTCTGTCCTTTTTTTTAATCTTATAAAGTGATCCAAAAATGCCTTTTCTCTCCTTGAATATATCTTTTCATTGCCCTTTTAAAAACAAGACACAATAAAAAATGTGAATCTGTGTTGTAGTTAAATTATTTAGGCTATAATTGGTATGAAGCATTATATACAAAATCAATTGCCGTTGCCTATGTTGTGTTCTTTCCAAAGTAATAATCCCTTACTGTCTTAGGGTCCCAGTCTCTTCAGTGCCTGTATCCCTAACTCTCCTTTTTTTCCTTTCTCTCTCTCTTTGAATAATTTTTTTCTCATGTATCAGATCACTCTTAAGAAGATGGTTACTGGGAGATCTACTATCTTTTGAGGGAATAGAGAATAATCACAGGGTGCCAGTCATGGGAGGGGGTGAATGGCTCAGCTCCCACTAAAGTTCATAGGAGTGCTAAGAGTGCCATAATGTCATGGCTGAATGCATAGAGTTGAATTTGGAGCAGTGACTTCAGCACTCCTGAAACCACTTGGCAGAGAATCAAAAGTAGGAATGTAATTTTCCAACACCTGGGAAGATCTCAGCTGTTGCCTGCAGTCCAGCTGATTAAACTAGGGCACCAGATCTGAAATCCGAGCTTACCTAGTGGGTGTAATTTAAATGATTTAACAGTCACATTTGCAAGATACTCTATGAGCCCTTCTTCTTTCCATCTCTTCTGTTAACTTTATCACTCTCTTATGACACAGGCTGTGATCAAAGTACTGTGGCCTATTAGGGGAGAATGGGCATTTTAACATCCATTTAAAATAAACATCCATTTCTCTCACTTGTCTGTAGCAAAAAGGCAGATAAAAGAAACTTTAAAGCAATTGTATTTATACAGTGTTCTAAATTTGTCAGAAAACATCATTTTTGTTTCTAATACATGAATTTTGGATGCTTCAACCTAATCATTTAAAGTATAATTCTTAAGCTTCTTAGCCTTCTGTGAACATTTTTGAGCATTTCTACCGGATTTTCATTTTACTTTTTCCTTGTTAAATTAAAATTTGAAGTTTTTGATCAAGAAGGGCAATGTATTAGGCAAAATGAACTCTCCAGGCTGTTTTTTCCCCTATTTTTCTTTTTTTTTAATCTAAACGCCAAGCTGCAGCATTTCTATTTTCTTTTTTACTGCATTTTCCTCCGCTGGAAGGGAGTTGAGGCTTGCTTCTTTTATTCTGTAGATTTTATGAGACTGACTGGGTGTGTCTACATGTGCATTAAAGTGCTTTTTTTAATGTACATTAACTTAAGTACCTCCAATGTGAGGTACTAAAGAAATGCACATTAGACTGCATTAATGCGCAGTAATGAATGCATGTGGTTTTTAAGTGATGCTTAATGCACAGTAGCCTATTTTACTGCGTATTAGCATAATCACTTGTTTTTTTACATGATGCTTTAATGCACAGTAAAATAGGCTGCTGTGCATTAAAGCACATATGTAGACATGCCCACAGAGTGATAACTTAGAAAGTTGCATATTTCTACCATTGACTTGCTGAGCATGAATCCTACACATCACCCCTGATGTGTTTTATGTTGAAGTATAGGATAGTTTCCACTTCCAACTATTCTGAATGTTCTGTTTACTAGGCCTGTGTGAATAGGGAAGTATTCGATTTGGATTCGGATTTAGCCAATTTGGAGGACAGTGATTCGATTTGGTGATTCGAATGACTGTCCCCATTCGATTTGGCTGAATCAGAATTGGAGATCTGGGGCTGATTCAGAGATACAGATCTACTGGGAACCCAGGCAGGGGGAGCCGCGGAAGAAGCCCCCATGGCTGCCCTGCCCAACCACAGCCCCAGCCCCCACCCGGCCCCAGCCTTCCTGCTCTTAAACAAAAAAAAGCCCCGTGCTCACCTGGTGCAGCAGGAGCTGTGGGGGCTCTGGGACCTCCTGGCAGACCCCCCCCACCATGCAGACCTCACACCCCAGTTTAAAGTGCCAGGAGGCTCAGGTTGGGTGGGGGATGGGGCCGGGAAGGGCAGCCATGGGGGCTTCTCTTGGTGGCTCCCCCTGCCTAGGGAGAGGCAGGCACAGCCGGAGAAGCCAGGGGAGAACCTTCAGCTACCCGACTATGCCTGCCTCTCTGTGATGGATCGAAATCTCTGAATCTTTTCTGAATCGATTCAGAGGCTTCAGATTCAATTTGGACTTTTTAATGGGTCTCCCGATTTGATTCGGATTCAGAGATTAGGCTGCTGAATCAGGCCAAATTCTGGATCGAATCAGCGACTGCAGCTTTGCATGTCCTACTATTTACCCTCAGTAACTATCCAGTCAGGAGATGGATTTGGATGATCTAAAAATGACTTTATTGCCTTAAATGTTGGCAAACTGAAAACTGACAATCACTTGCTTTTCATATGTGAGTAGCAGCCATGGCACATATTTTCAAAGCTGTCAGAGGGATATGAATGTCCAGTTCCCTTTAAAATTGATGGACATTAAGTGTTCCTATCCCCAAGGTGACTTTAAAAAATCCAAGCCTATGTTATGGAAAGTAGACTCTTGGCCTATGATGTCCATATATTGTGAGCAGTCTGTCTAATATTTATTTTTTAACTTTGTAGTTTTCAATCTGAGTCCAAAGCATCTGAGAGAAAAGTTACTGACTTCCAAAAGATCATAACACAGGTAATAAAAAAGTGTATTTATCAATCATCTAGATGTTTAAAAAACATCCTTCAGCATGGTAGCAGAGCACGTATTTCATCTGTCACTGCAGCTTAGAGCAAAATCCAGTTACACCCTCGCCCGTTCCACCGGGGTCTGACCAGCCAGTTGGTCCTGCCATGTGTCCTCAGTTCCAATCAAACAACCAACAAAAGACCAAAAAGAAAACAAGAAAACAGAGAAGGCTGTCCTGGCCTGTGTCAGTGTTCCTGCTGTTTGCAGCCAATATCTAAACCAAAACTGATCTTCATGTGGTCAGTCCCTCTTTGGTGGCTGTCTCTCTCAGAGCTCTTGTGGAGGTCACCACTTGTTTTAGCACCTTGAGCCCATCTATAACACCATCTTATTGGTTTGTGCCACTTTTACATGTATTACGGTACCGTGAAAGTCTGTACTGCCCCTCTATTAGGGTTATTATGGTACCACTCTCCCTGCCCGGCTCCGCCAGCTCTTGGCATGTTTTCCAAATGTTTCAGCTAAGGTATAGCTTCTGAAGGACACTCATAACATACGACCACTTAGATTTCTTTTCTTCAACTGTCCTTAGACTGACCAATAGCAGTACAAGCCTTGCATTCCTTTAATAAGGTAATTTTAACTGTGCCACAGGGCCTTACTACTTCTAGGCTTTGCTAAATTTACTAGGCCTTACTTTATACAAGGCCTCACTACATCTTAAACTATCTTTAGGCTTTTAGCAGCAACCTATAGCTTAATAACTAAACAAATACAGAAAAACACTTGGTCTAATCTTCATAGAGCCTTCAGCAAGCACTTTTATCACACAGACATACTTTTCAGCTGCCACAGAGAGTAATAGCAAAATAACAAGAACCTATATCAGGCTTCTCAAGGGACTTCATGGGAGGAATGCTAGTTTAGTGGTTTTCAACCTTTTTCGACTCAAGGCACCCCTCAGAAGACTGAAGGCACCCCTCCATAATTTTTTTTTAAATTAAAGCGGCAACCTGATTTATTTATTACAGTCCTAACCTCCTTGTAGAAGGGGCAGGCAGGGAGATCCTGAGCCTTATTTCCTTACACTTCCTGTGACCCCCTTCAAAGGATCTGGGCACACATGAGAGGTTCAGTTCCTGGCATCCAAAATATGTTAAAGTCAAAATAAGACATGGTGTAATTTAGGTACCTCCTGGGTTAGGAAGCATCTGAGCAGGAATTTTGGATCACAGTTGTAGAGCTTGGTGCCCAGATTCAGCCCATATCCTGCTTTATGCCCTTGAGTCCTCTGCTGGATGTTATTCTAAGGTACTATGCCTGAGCAAGGGTGGTAGAATCTGTCCCTCAGATACAATATGTAGTCTTGTGACAATAACTACAATGGTGTATACATTCATCTCTTATACTGGATAATTCTTACTACCATTTGTATCATGGTATTGATTGATGCTGTTTATGGTGGGGGTTTTATAGCTGAACAAGCTGAATAAATCCTGGTTATCTGGACTTCCCAATAGCACTGCAGTATGTTTATATTTTGGGAGTCTTGAATACATTTTGTTTTATAAAAGTAAAGTGAAATGGACATCTAACCTCCTCCCTGTCTCTTTAATCTCCCTCTCCCTTTGAAGAGATGAAATAATTTCCCTGGCTTCAAATTGTTGTAACCTTTTCCCATCTTGCTCAGTTTTCCCATGGAAGAGCTTGACATGGAATTTAGGTTCCTCATACAGATACTTTAACACACGCTGGATTTCATCCACAGCCAGTACACTGACAAGAAGTCTTTAAACACAAGTCCTGTCAAAGTTAATAGAGTTACTTGCCTGAGTTGGATTTTGCAGGACCCTTTATGTTTCTGATTGTGAATAAAGCAAGTAGTTCTGTCTGTCCTAAGGTGGCTTCATCTGAATTGATTAAAGACAGGTACAGACGTAACTTGAATGCTGTTAAGAAAGCTTTCCTCAAGGTTATCGGAAGATTTTGGTTTTACATTAGACTTTATTTTTCCTGGCTGTTGAGAAAGGGAAAGGAAGCCATATAGTGAGTGTCCTTTTCTGGGTGTCATCATTTAAAATGCATGCAGTAGACAACTTGATCTTCAAGCTGAGTGACTGAAATGATATGCTGTAGGCTAATGGTTACAAGTGCCAAGCCTTATTACTTGACTACCAACATATTTGACTGGCACATTTTTGGGAGTTCATCCTTAGCCTGCTGTTCAGGAGAGATGAGCCATCCACAAATCTCTTGTTTACAACTAGAGTATGAGGTGCTGAGCCGATCTGAGAATTAGGCCCTTAACTGACAGCTGCTTCATTTTACCTCTGACACTCCCTTCGCAAAGGTTTTGTTGGCTATTTGGAAAGTACTCCTGATTATGTACTTTCACCCAAGTGTTCCTGCATTCTTGGGCACATATGCTTTATGCTTATAGTTTTAGACCAAAGTGTTTTTAATAAAATTATATTAAAAATATTGCTAATACATTTTCTGAGCCACATGGTTATATAAGATTTTCACAGTAGAATTATCCCAAGTCTTTGAAGCAGGTGTTTCCTTATGGACATTTTCTTCTCATTCCCTGATCCCTTGTGGTCAATTGTGGTCCTTCTGTGTATTGTTGCTTCAGTAATAAAGGTATTATTTCTGCATTGTAGGCTGAAGATGTGAAGTCTGCAACAGATGAGACTGAGGGAAGAATGGATGCGTTTCAGTATTCTTTATCAAGGTGCATGCAATAGGAAACCAGTTTTGAAACGTTCTTTATTGCTTGTCCTACAGCTGCTTAGGCTTGTTAGCCACAATTGCTGTTTCTCTCTCTGAGTTCCTTCATCTAGCAGAGTGTTTTTGAAGATTAATAATTTTATGCATAACAATATTCACATTTTCCTTATGATAAAGTTCCATTCTGAAGCCAATTGAGTGGGATACTTTTGAAATATATGACTAAATCTGTATGTACTACAGCATCTCTTATCATGGAAATTGCTATGCTGTTGCACCCAGTTTTCCCATGTTTATTGAGCAGTGGTTCCTATTAGGCAGGACTGAGGCTGACAGTGCCAACATTACCCTTAATTCCTATGGACATGTGAACTAAGAGCAAAACTTGAAAACTCAGTATTTCTTTCAGTAAGATGATGGTGGACATTATTGATACAGCTTCACACAAGGACATGGGTGTAGAGTATGTTTCAGAGGAAAAAGGAGCCCAGACATCTTATAATCAAAATTTAATCTCTCTGTCCTGAACCAAGGTCATACGCTGCCAATTTTCCTAGGTCTAGTTTACTACCTCCCTTCAGCAGGGAGTCATGATATTAGATCAGGTGGATAAGACTTGGGCTTTTTTTCCTCCCTTTTGTTCATAGCTATTTTCCCTGCTTTTTTACAATCCTAACTTTGCATCCCTGCCTCAGCTTCACCTGCCTTTTGGCACTATGTCTGCCATAGCTGACAAACTCCTATGTATTACTGCATATACCACACAGCCAGACTCTCAGTCTGCCCTCCTTCATGCTCTGAAGGTTGATATTTTGCTAGGCAAAAACACCAGTTCTGTCAGATGATGATTCTTTATCTACTTGCAATCTTTATAGAGTCTAAAAATAAATATGTACTGCTAGAATCTACCCAGGGTGCCTAAATCCCATGCTCCAGAGTAATATTAGGACTTTTTCCATTCTGAGACACCTTTCATCTTAATGACATGGGTTCTGTCTGCACCACTATTTGATTTTTTACTTTACTGAGGATGGGAAGGAAGATCTCTTCTAGCTTGGAAGTAAGAAATGGAGTTTCCTGACCGAGCAAGCAGTGTTTTTTTAGAGAAGTGAAATGGATGAGGGGCATAACCCTCACTGACTGAGCAAAACTGTCATTATGCAGTAAGATTAATGTTATTTTTGATGTGGCTATCTATGGCTATATGAACAAGGTAAGATAAGTTAGGGTATAGACTTCAGTTACTCCATTTAATGTGAGGTAGTTTACCCCACTTTTACGGAGGGGCAGTCTACCTCCCATATGTCACAAGGAAGACTGTACACATGGACAGGTACTGCAGGGAAGCTAATGGGCTGTAAATTCATCCAGTAGATTAATTCACAGTAACTTGTTCATGTTGTCATGTGCTTTGGTATATGCTTTTGGCAGAGGGGCAGCTCAAGAAAGAGTGTGAATTGCAGGAGAATTAGCTGTTTTTAGGAAATTGCTTAATGCCGTTTTTCACTGTTCTATTTTCTGACTAGGGAGACATCCTCATATTCTGAGCAGTCTTCAGCAAGGATTAAAATCCAGGCTGAGTAAGTATATTTTTGCCTTTCTTTGAGTAGGAATAAACTGGCGCATCACTGAATGTCCTGGAACAGGCATGGTTGCAAACAAAGAAATCAGTTAAACAGTAGCTGAAGTATCATTCACAGAACCAGTTTTCCAGACTAGATCTGTTTTATTGTAGAGATCTAAAGCTCCTGATGCTTATTTCCCATGTTCTTTTCTTGTTATTGACATGCAGCAAGTGTTTCCAGAGAACAGAAGTATAATGTCACAATCACACATCAGATGGGAAACAAGTAGCAGGAACAGAGAAACTTTTCACGATATAGGTTATGTAGTAGGGAATGTTGTGTCTATGTGTTCTTATATACAAGCATGGACTGAATTTACAGGATACCAAAGTTTTAGTGTGAGCAAGCACAAAAGGTTGGCTTTGTTAGGCTGGAATGTGCTAAGAACTAGACAGAAAAAAGAGTCTGGAATGCTAATAAGCAATAAAGGTATTAAACAACAGCAAGAAGATTAATTTGTAACAGCTTTAGCCCAGCAATAAAGGTAAACAAGGCAGGTAGAAAGGAGTTTCTCAGTTTTGGAAAGGTAAAGTAGGTGTATAGGTGAGTGGCAGGCTGGATCTGTCCAGTTTCAGGAAAGCAGACACCCCAAAATATGAGAATGTAGTTGGAAATCTATGGAAATAAAATTGAAGGAGAAAGTTGTTCTTTGCTAGTGTCAGCTAGATCCCAGGAGCCTGGAGCAGCTAGAATTACTCCCTTACTAGCCCAGTTAAAAGTACTCCAACCAAATGCATGTCATTCTAACTGCCTTTCTATATGTTCTGTACAATGCTTCTAGTAAAATTTTATAAAAACCTGATTCAAATAATCTATAGAAAAGTTAAATGTTATTTCATAAAGAAATTTTTACCAGAACTATTGATGGTCTGTCAAATTTCAGCAGTCATCATGATCACTGTTTTTCTTTTAAGCTGAATTCATGCTCTCAGCACCAAACATTTACTTGGTGGAGTTTTTCCCTGATTCAGGAATGGGGGATTTATGTTGAACTGATGCACTTTCCAGAACTGATTTGGATTGCAGCAGAGCTTAGGCAGGAGTGAGATCTTTAGGTAGTCTGGATTTCTTCTGAGCCCAAGTCCAGTGTGTGGAGATCTTCTAATGCCAAAGTGTAGGCAGCAATAAATGCATCTAATAAATCTAGATGTGTAGGTGGTTTTGCAGCTGTTAAGCAAGGTCAGTTACAATCACAGAGGTATCTGAACTTCTAAGGTTTGTTTTAGGCATTTAGAGGTTGATAAGCTTGGGACCTGATGGTCACTGAACTAAGAGATAGTGCCAAGAGCCAAAAATGCATTGATCTTCTTGGAGTTTGTAAATTATTTCCCTGATCAGGTAAAGCTACTTGCTCCACTCTCCTAGATGTCTCTACTTTTATATATTCATAGTGGATTTTCTGTTCTTTGTGCAGAGAGGAAGAACTTCTGTATTTGACTTTCATTGAAGAAGTAACAGATGAAATTCTTAAGCTTGGATTATTTTCCAACAGGTTGGATATCTTTATTTTCAAGTTCACAATTACTGCGTTTGAACAGACCAGATCCTGTAAACTGTGTGAAATGGCACTTGTCTCCAACACTGGTGTGACCTTTTTAGAATAAATGTTAGCATTTAATCTTCTGTTAAATATATTTTAAAAAATATTATTCTCCATCTCTCTATTTGCCCTTCCTTTCCCCTATACAGAGGAACAAAGAGGTGGAGGGCAATTTCTGGGTAATCTGGCCTAATCCCCTGCAATTGTAGGCAACCATGTCATATGGTTCATAAACTGATCAAGCTCTAACATAGAACCATCGTTTTTGTCCCCATGACACCTGGGAGGCTGTGCTGGAATCCCTGTCCTCTGATGGCTTAGAAACCTTCAGCTAATTTCTAACCAAAGCTTATTTGTTCTGTCAGGGTTGGCCTTTAGCTTAAATGGGTCTTCTCCCTACATGTTTACTTTGCTGACATGCAAAGTAATTGCATTGCTCCTAACCCCTCTACACAAAATCAGGCAACATCTGTTAGTCTTTTTGTGCAAAATAAGATCTCTGTTCCCCTTACTTAGACTACTGTCCCTTCCTGCATCTGTTCCAATTTGACTTCATCTTTCTGGAATCTGGGTGACCAAAATTGTATGCAGTATTTCAAGTGTGGTCTTACCAGTGCCTTGTATAATGGCATCAGTACATCCCTATTTCTTCTGGAATATATCACCATATATATCCTAGAATTGCCCTTGCCTTTTTCATAACCATATCACAGGAGTGATTCCTAGTTATGATTAGCTGATCACAAGGCACTGACCTCTTTCTCCTGTATTTTTTTCTAAGTGTTGGGCTTTCAACCAGTAGCACAGATTCCAAAGTGCATGAAATAGCACTTGCTTCCTTCCTTCCGATCTGGTCCTTACTCTTTGGATAAGGTGGAAAAGAAAGGCACAGCTAGTACCAAGAAATAGGGTACTGAGCTGCTTTCCCCTGATTCTGTCTTTGGAGTGTTAGGCTAGTAGTTACTTCTCAGTCTCTGGAAAGGGCAGTACAGAGAACTTTTCACTCAGCTGGAGCAGAAACTAGGTCTCCACTTGCTTTAACTGAGTTGAGGTTAGTTCCAACAGGGTACAGCCTACCAGCCAGTGTTCACATGTATCCTGAAGGTTACTGGCTGTTGCTTTGACGGGCACTTGTTCACGAAGCAACTGTCTAGTAGCATGAAAGCTCAGTATGGGTTTTTCTGTATGTAACTGAGCATAATTAGGGCTATCCAAGCAAGAAAAATCATGAAAATTCTGGAGTTTGGATCTTAACTCTCTAGGCTTGTTTCAAACATTTCCGGAAAATACTGTGACTGAGCTTTGTTTGCTTGTTTTAGAGTATTGGAACGATTGTTTGAGTGTCACATAGAAGAAAATAGGCACCGTTTGGATGAGGTAAGTCCATTCTCGGAGCAGGGTCTGTAACATTCCCCATTTCTGTCAGTGACATCAAAAGGCATTTGATAATGGCAAGCTGGTAAATGTAGCTAGACCACTCAGTGCAGATTCACTAGTAGAATAAAAGATTGTGGATTGGTACTGTGACAGCATGCCACTTAGGTTGCCCACATCATGTATAGTCTCATACCCAGACAGCAGTTATTTCAGGAACTTGATGACAGTTTGCAGCATAGTAATAATAAGAAAAGATTAGGCACTTGCTTTCAAGTATCCTTTCTTTCCTTTAACATTTGGCCAAACCAAACATTCCAATTAGAAAAAGGTCACTAAAATAATTCAGATATTCACAGCAGGTGTTGGCAGTGTTTTCTAGCCAGAGTGACCCAGGCAGACTGGGCCATCTCCACCGCTTCTCCCTGCTGCCCAGCCGCAGCATGGCACAAAGGGAGTTCCCCCTGTACTAAAGCCCTGGGCACCTCCCCTCCATCAAAGCCCCCAGTGCCCAACTGTGGTACAGTACGAGCAGAGCTCCCTGCTGCCAAATGTTGCCAAAGCCACATCTCCATGGGCTGTAATTATTGACCCTTGATTTACAGAATAAAAATCAGCTACAAATTCAATCTTACTCCTGCAAGCAGTTATGGAGGGAGCCATCACTAAACTTAAGCATTATATTTCTTCCTTTAAATTCTAGAACAAAATGCGCCACCTACTGGATGTCCTCAAAGTGGACCTAGGCTGTAGCACAGAGGAGAAATCTGAGAAAGTCAATGGGAATATGGAGGCATTTGATCTGGAAAAGTTTGAAACCATGGATCAGCTTCAAATTACCAGCAAAAATCAAGGGCAAAATAAGATTACAAAGAGCAGTGAGTTCCTGCAAGCCATGGATTTATTATCAAAGGATCCAAACAGATTAAAGCCCCAGTCATATTGTGAAACTCCAGAGGAGATATGTGGCCAGAATGGCTTTTCAAAAGATCTTACTGAAGTAGTGAGCACTGGAACAGATCCTTACTCTTCAGTGAAATCTGAATCTGTCCCAGATATTTCACACTCTTTGGAGCCAACATTAAACTCAACCACTTGTGAGAGTGACTTTGAAACCAATAAGGGACTTGATGATCTTGAAGAAAGCTTTGCAGAGGCCCTTCAAATCTCAAATGACTATGTAGAAGAATAGACCAGAATTAACTGCAAAACAGTAATGCAGACAGTACTGTGGAGAGCCAATGTTTGTCAAATAAATACTAGTGAATCATTAATTTTTATCTTCAACTTTCCTATTCAAATGCTGCTATTAGCCTCACAAGAGGGGTACAAGCATTATCAATCAGGCATTAACTGATCTAGGTACTAACATAAGCTGTAATGGTTTAAAAGTTATTGCTCAAAAAGAATGTTTTTATAATTTAAGCTAAGAGTACAATTTTGGAACTAGCTGCTGACACTGCTAAAATTAGAGTATATATATTTTTAGGTTTATTGAAGATGTAATAATTTATATTATTTATTGTTTATTTATAATAAACGAATGCAGTACCTGCACCATTGTAAACACATTTCTGGTATAACATGCCATCAAGAGCTGAGATCATCATATTTTCAGGAGTTGTTGGGAAGTCTATATCACTTTCCAAGAACAATTTAATGCAGACAAGCATAAAAAAACCCCACAGTGCATAAACCTGTAGGAAGCTTGCAAAGTGAGCACAGACCATTTCATCAACCGTGGGGTGGAGGGGAGGAGGTATCTGCACTTAGAACTCCCTGCCCATTTTTCAAAGTTGTCTTCCTAAGTTCCTACAGGAGATGAGCCTTGCAAATCCAGTTGTCCTCTTAACAATACTGTGAGAATTAATGAGCATTCTGTTAGTAATACATTTTCTGCATAAAAGATGCCTATTCATCTTGAAGTAAAACCTGAATCAAAGAACAATCTATGTATATGCAATCACAACAGCAGACACTCAAGCATAGCCTTTGGATGGCAGCCAGCAGGTAGTGGGTAATCTGTTCTTTTCACAGCCTTCTTCCCTCTCTGTACCCAGTCCTCTTTCCCCTTTGTCTACCTGGCAAAAAGAAGTAGGCCTGCTCTAGTAATAGCAGCCCTGTTTTCACTTAACTTTCTGCCATCTTGCTTGATTAGGAAAGGACATTTTTTGCTAATGGCTCTGCTGTGCTGGGCTGGCTGATGTGCTCTTTATATGCTAGATGTTCATGACTCAACTACTATTTTTGGAGTATGACTACAGCAACTGGTTTTCAAATTGTGCAGCACTACATTGTATAATTCCATTTCTTACACCAAAGGTGGCCTTGACCTAATAGTCTTTTTAAAAAAATAAAATAATGAGAGTTGGGCCCTCACTCAGGAGCAGGCATGTCCATGGCGCTGTACATCAAAGAACAGTTCACATCCTCAATGAGCAGCACTGGGTGAGAGGAGGGGCAGACTGAAGTGCTCTGGGTCAGAATACAAGGGTGTCGGGGGGAAAGGGAGTTAACGGTGGGGGTCTACTACAGACCACCCAACCAGGGAGAAGAGCTAGACCAGGAATTCTCAGGTCAGCTTATGGAGGCAGTTAAGTCAAAGGATGTGGTTATCATGGGTGACCTGAACTATCTGGACATTTGCTGGGAAGAGCAGTCAGCCAGGTCTGACCGCTCACATAGGTTCCTAGCCGTGTTACAGGACTTCCATCTAACCCAGGAGATGCACAGTCCCACCAGGGGAAATGGCTTGTTACACCGGGTCCTGGCCACAAAAGACGACCTGGTGAGGGGACTGCGGGTGCTTGATCACCTGGGTGATAGCAATCATCGCCTATTGGAATTCACCATCCAGCGCAAGGTGGCAAAGGCCTGCAGCAAGACAGCAGCCCTGGACTTCAGGAGGGTGGATTTCATTGACCTAAAGAGACTAGTTGGGGAGGCACTGAGGTTCTGAAGGGGTGGGGAGTTGGGAGTCCAAGAAGAGTGGTCGTTCCTGAAGGAGACGATCCTCCAAGCCCAAAGGGTGGCAATCCCAACACGGATCAAAGGGGGCAAGAGTGCTCAAAAGCCCCCATGGCTCACCAAAAGCATCCAGGAATGTCTCAAAGCTGAGAAGGAGGCACACACCCAATGGAAGGGAGGGGCCATCACCAGGGAGGACTATACCTCCATTGCTCAGGATTGTAGTGGGGCTGTTAGGAAGACCAAGGTGGAGATGGAACTGGGACTAGCTACCCAGATCAAGGATAACAAGAAATCCCTTTTTAAATACATAGGGAGTAAAAAGAAGGTTCTGGGTTATGTGGGGCCTCTGCAGGACATGCTTGGAAATCTGGTGGTCTCACCAGACGACAAAGCTAACCTAATAATTTCTTTGCTTCCATTTTTCTGAGCAGGGACCAAGTCACCCCCCCACCAGGATCCCTGATGGTCCAGGGGAGGTGCAGCCAGGCCCCAGGGTCAGTGAGGACCTAGTCAGGGAACTTCTGGTGGGACTGGATGTGTTCAAATCAGCAGGTCCTGATGATCTCCACCCCAAAGTGCTGAGGGAATTAGCAGAGTTCATTGCGGGACCACTGGCACAGCTTTACAAGCACTCGTGGTGCTCTGGCAAGCTGCCAGAGGACTGGAAAAGGGCCAATGTCCCCATTTTCAAAAAAGGGAGGAAGGAGGACCCAGGAAATTATAGGCCTGTTAGTCTTACCTCGGTCTTGGGGAAGCTCTTTGAGAAAATTATCCAGGTGCACATCTGTGAGGGGCAAGCAGGGGAGTGTATGTTTAGGGGCAACCAACACGGGTTCATTAGAGGCAGGTCCTGTCAGACCAACCTGGTGGCCTTCTATGACCAGGTCACCAAATCCCTGGATGCAGGTCTTGCGGTGGATGTAGTCTTTCTGGACTTTAGGAAGGCCTTCGATACTGTCTCTCTCACCCTATTCTCATTAAAAAATTAGGAGATTGTGGTGCCGATGCCTACACAGTCAGATGGGTCGCCAATTGGCTGGAGGGCCGCACCCAGAGAGTGGTGGTGGACGGGTCATTTTCGACCTGGAGGGATGTGGGCAGTGGGGTCCCCCAGGGCTCGGTTCTCAGGCCCGCACTGTTCAAAATCTTCATCAGCAACTTGGAAAAGGGGGTGAAAAGCACCTTGTTCAAATTCGTAAATGACACTAAGATGTGGGGAGAAGTGGGCACGCTAGAAGGGAGGGACAGGCTGCAACTAGATCTGGACAGGTTACAGGGGTGGGCAGACAAGAACA